GTGGGTGTGGGGGTTAGGGTGGTGGGTAGGGTTGGTAAGGGTGGGGAATAGGCTAGGGAAGGTTGAAAAAGAGGTTTGGAAAATGTTAAACATTTTCCTTCAATTTATGAGGAAAATGAGTTTACGAGAAAAATATTTTTCAAAACATTTAAGCCAACCAAACATGGTAAAATTGAAAAATATTTTCCTTTATACCAAACATACCTTTTATCTAAAACATGAATGTTTCAGTCGATTATGGTTCTAATAAATAACCAGTTATGGATTCATCTTAGGTCCTTAATGTTAGTATATGTTGGTACTTGTTTCTGACTAATCCTTCATGAATATATAAATGAAAGTATAGTATAATTGTGTGTCAAATCTGCTTAATTATTCGCCTCTTAAAGACGAGGCGATTTTGGATCAATGCTACACTAGTTAAATAGTATTTTCTCTACATATATTGTTTGAACTACGCAAAGAATAGGTAAAGACTAATGAAATATAAGGATTATTTGTCACAAAGGATTTTTTTGAATTAAGGATAAGAATGATTTGAGAGAAAAAACACTTACAATACTGTTCTTATAGCTTTGAAAGACTGAAAACAAATTTGACAAGATGGTGTTTTGTGCATTACATAGCCCTTGAAATAGAACTTGCAAGTGGTTGTTGGGTTTAGTTCCTTTCAAGAAGATCTTTGGTGTAAGTAATTTTCTGCACCACAATTAACTTTTTTTTCTTCTCATTCTTAATGCTGGATAGAAGATGGAGTCCCTGATGTTGGATCTTCCTTATCGGACGGGGAGATGGTGGCTGATGCAACAAAGACCCTCTTTGTTGCAATGGAGTTTTGTGCTAGGTTTGTAAACTTACATTAAACTAGTTTGTAAACTTACATTAAACTAGTTTCAAACTATTGTTTTAAGCTAAAAATTGTATCTCATTTTTTGCTATCTATTATCTTTAGCACCATACATGCTAAGCTGGAAAAAGAGATACTGAAGAAAAGGGTGTTTGAGACAGGTGATTTTGCGGATCTTTAAGGAGCTGCTAGAGGGATTGACATTTATCCACGGAAGTGGGGTGATCCATGGAGACATATCCAGAGATAATGTCTTCATGGATGCACAGGATCAAGCAAAGATCGGCGATTTTGGCTTGGGTGAGTTGGTTATTCTTTTTTAATTTCTTTGTTATTTCCTTGGTACTCCCTCCGATTCCCTTTGTTTGTCATAGTTTGACTTGACATAAAGTTCAAGAAATAAAAGAAGACTTTTGAAACTTATAGTCTTAAATCTATATTATTATAAAAGCGGGAAGCTCTTAACCAAAAAAATTGAATCCCTTATAAATAATTTAAATATTTTATTTATACCAAATTTTTTAAATAAATACCAAATTTATTTGAAGGGATGTGATCTTTCACATTAGTCAATAATGCTTAAAATAGTTTCTACCGATTCCCATTTGATTTTGTTTTTCAACCGTTGGTATCTTTTAGAATAGAGTAAAGCTGTCCAACGGGCCGGGCCAGGTCCCGTCCCGCGTCCCGTCCCATCCTGTCCCGTCCCACTTAATTCTAAACGGGATGGGCCCATGTTAAACGGGACATGGGATGAGACGGGATGGCCATTTCGTCCCGTTTGTCCCGTCCTGCCTGTCCCGTCCCGTCTGTCCCGCGTCCTATTTTTTAAAATAAAAGGCTCTAAGCGTTGAATTATTTTTATGAATTGTCTTACACTCTTACTTAGTTATTTAATGACTTGAAATTATATTAAATAAATTATAAATTTATAATTACTAGAATATTTCATTACAAGTCTTTTGTTTTAATATTTTATAATTCTTTACTTAGTTTCCTAATTTTCGTTTAATTTTTAAATTTATTAAATATATCAAAAAACTAGCCGTTGCAAACTTTAAAAACTTAGTCATTGTCAAAAGAATAGCCGTTGCCAAACTCAATGCTTAAATAATTATTATTTTTTAAAACGGCACTTAAGGCCCGCGAACCCGTCTCGTCCCGTTTGTTAGCGGGACATGATGGGCCTACCGTTTCGTCTTGTCCCGTCCCATCCCGTTTGTTAGCGGGACGGGATGGGCCTACCGTTTCGTCCCGTTTGTCCCGTCCCGCTACCATCCCGACTAAATGACGTCCCGTCCCGTTAATTTTGTCATGTCCCGTCCCGTTGGACAGCCCTAGAATAGAGAAACAGTTGGCTTACTATTCAAATCAAAACAAAGCCTTTGTTTCATAAACTCACACGGATATATTCCTAAGGAATAGAAGGCGAAGAGTGATTCTAACTTCTTGATAATAAATAAGTATGTATTTATATACAGTTAAGCATAGTGACTTAAAAGACCGCACCCCGAGTACTAGTCTCATCACCAATTCTATAAAATTCATCATTGAAAGGTATTCTTCTCTTACTGTGTGCCTCTTTTGTTATTAAAATGCGCTCATACCTTTTTTTTAACCTTTTTATTTAACGTTTAGTCGAGTTCTCAAATTCTAATTCACAAAATAGCGCTAAAGTTCTGCCCATATATTGA